TGCAAAATTTCATACAGGTATGACAATTCTAAGTATACGAACTAGCATGTATGAGAAGCACAGATCACACAAAACTGCAAAAGGAGAAAAACGCATTTGAAAGTTTGAAACTTTTTTTTATCACAGAGTTGTTAGAAATGCATAACCTTTGGCCATAATGTTCAACAGAACTTTGAAAAGCACTGCAAGTTACTAGAACTGTCCTGCAGCATAGGTTGTGCCCTCACGGTCCTTGCGAGCACTCTCTTCTAGCCGTGCCCTTTTCACTCCACGACGACGGTGGGCCCTTGCTTCTGCTGTCAGACGCTCGGACATTCTCTTGATGCGCCTCGCATCGCGGGAATCACTGAAAGTAACTAGATCTCTAGATGGCAGTATGTTGAGCTCTTCCAAGATGTGCTCGAAATTAGCATGACCCTTGTTGAACTACAGGATTGCCATAGCTGCCTCGACAACCGTTCGGGAGACAAACTTAGTCTTGAGGCAAAGTAGCCAAATTCTGCTGTTCAGGGATTCCGATGCGTTCTGGGTTTTCCCTTTGATGCATCGAGAAAGGAGCTTCTCATCCGTTAGCCGCTTATAAATGGGCAAAACAGCCAATCCCTGTGCTTTTGTCAGGAGAGGTGTGTGGCGTGGTGCAGGTTCACCAAGTGCCTCAGCGCGTTGATGTTTGCACCACGATTCTGTTGCTGCAGAGCAAAACTTGTGGCTGCCAGCATTGTCAGTAGAGCATGAGTGGAAGTACGAAGCCCATACTGCAGTGTACATATCCAGTACACTCCCCCTGTTGCTTGTTATGGCAATCTGATAGTTTGTTTGGAGCTCCTGAATGGCTGGCTCTTTCATTTTCTGCCCTCGTGGTAATGGCACATGCAGCTTCCATAGCGCGGTGCCAAGTCTCTTGGCCACATGATTAGTGCAGTGTTCTTTTTCTATATTGACAGCACCATAGACTTTTGACTCTGCAACTGCACTATATGCTTTGCTGTCACCGTCACTCAAGAATGTCATGAAATGCAGTGGGGTGTCATAAGTCAATGTTCTCTGCCAAATGCGCATTGCAGCCTTCGTTTCCATGGCATGGGAGGAACATGTCTGCATTTTTTTCACAGACTGGGCCATGGAATGCCTGCCACACTTCCTCGTCTGGGCCCATATCCTTGTGCCTACTGCATGTCAGGCAGTAATTTGATATTACCTCGAAGTCTAAGCAGAGGCCAGTATCTAAGGAGATAACTGCGCCAATCCCGTTGTGGCTTTTGTGGCCCCTCTTCTGCCAAGTGCCGTCGAACATAACAGCCACATCAGTTTCGCCTGCGACTTCTTTCGTCAACTCTGTGGATCGGCGCAAGTTTTCACTCACAGCTGCCATGGCAGCGGTGTGCACCTTCTTTGCTATCGAAAAAAATCCTCGATGGTGCATTGGCTTTGGGAGTCCAATAATGGAGCAAAATCTCGACAATTGCTCATGCCCAATGCCGACAGCGGGTGCAGCCTCTACTGCCTTCACATTTACAGCGAAACTATCTCGGGAGCTCCCACTGTCGTTCCGTTGGCTCACTCGGCTGCTGCCGTCCGCCGTAATACACAGTGACGTATAGGAGCACAAAAGAACAGTCGCTGAGCATTCGCTGTTTTCGCAATGAAGTTCGAGGAGCGACAAAAGTTTCTTGCGCTTTTCTGCCGGCTCCCAAACGGCAAGTTTTTGAATACCGCAAGCAGGCCATGCCGCACCTGCCACAAGTGCCGTCAGCAAGAGGGTGTCGCACAAAACTGTCGTTGCACAAACCTCATCGCGCTGTCTTTCGTCTTTTTCGAAGAAGCCGAGCTTCTCTTCCGAAGCACTGACGAAAGAAAGCGCAGCGTCAATCCCTTCACCGCAGCCACTGTCGCTCGTGCACTCGTCGATGCCGCCGTCAGGCCTAGCACATGTAGGCGCGCTCTCGTTCGTCGCCGTCGTTCGGGGCGCTTTAAGCCGCCTTCCCTTGAACTTGTGCTTCGTTCGAAACTTCTTCGGTCTCACGTTGCACTTTTTCGGGCTTGTCATCGCGGAAATATGCGTAGACGTGCAGAAAAGCAGACGGACCAAACGCCCATGGCCGCCACCAACACAGCTGACAATGACACGGTACACTGTAAGCAAAAACTATCCGAGTTTGGGGTTTTTCCGGCTCATGACCTCTGAAAACTCTCTCGCGTTTAAAATTACTACCTCGCGTAGGAGTAAAAGATGGTACATGACATAGTTTTACCACCACCTCTCAGGCAAGTAGTAAAAGGATGTCAAAATCCAGTTTTACCACTTAGGGAGTTTTCTATCACGTGATTTTTAACCTGCGTTTCAGAGTTTATTACCACGTGACTGCAAGGTGCAGCTGCTTCGGCGGCTCTTGCCCCATACCCCCCTTGTGACGCTCTCAGTGAATACTGAACGTACGCGAAGCCCACAGATGTTTTCTTTTTGTTTTTTTTTTTTGCATCGCCGTGCCTCTGGACTGACCTCGAGTCAGCGCACTTTTACTGGAACTGGGGGCAGCATAAGCACAACAAGCGAGAACAGCATTCTTTGAACGAAAAAAAAAGACGAGGGGGCGGGGGCTCTCAAAAGAGAGAAAAAAAAAAGAAAGAAAACCTGCTGTGGAAAGTTGTCCTGCATATTTTCGCAAATTGTTGCTTTTGCTCGGCGGTGACTTTGGAGACAGACAGTGCAAGAAGCTCGGTATCTGTGTGTCTGGTTGGTCTGATGGATCTCACGTGTTTCCTAGATCATCGAGCGACCGTGCTCTTCCGAGCGCCTCCGAACCTGCACGTCGCAGATATCTCCAGTTCGCGGATATATCCAGATCTGCCAGTGGTAACAAAATCAATCTGGTGCCATCGTCCGTGCTTGCCTGCGGGAGAAGCAATAAGCAAAATGCTTCACTCTGTCGTCGGCACCGAGCCGCGGCCACCAGTGACCAGTGGGAGTGTGTCGCCGGGGCAGGTGAAAGAAGCATCGCATATATTTTGTTCCACAGTAGGCGATGTCTGCACGAGTAAAGTGCTGCCCGAATTGCCCACCTCATGCACCAACTGTTCTCAAACATGTAGCACGAATCCGATTAGAGGCAGACGGAACCAACAAGTGGCGGCCGGTGAGCACGAAGAAAACCCGGACCTGCCCGGATGGTGGTCTTTCGTTGGAAGTATGCATACACCACCCCGTCCGCGCAAGATAGCGGTCACGTGTTCATTTGTGTCTGAAATGACGACGAAATTCACACAGGATATGTGTTCTGTGATCGCCAGCTGTGTTTCATCGGATAGCCGTGCTCCTCGAAAAGGCCTAGAACGCCGTCGGTAAGCAGCTTGTATGCAGGCGTGGACCGCTCTTCTACGCCCGTTGTGATGAATACGTGCTGCTACTGTGTTTGTGCACCGTCGCTCAATGAAAATCATTGAGCTACCATGCTTTGTGCGTACTTAGGTATATTTTATGGACTTGTGCATCAGCAGTGCTAACACGGGTGGGGCAAAGAGCCCGTTGTGCCAAGCAATTATTGGATAATCAAAAAGGTGAGATCGTGTAGATTTATAATAAAAGGTCGGTGTGACATTTAGTGCCCTGCAGCCCACCTGAAGCTTACGCTTGCACCTTCAAGCGTTGTTGTTAATCGATGCAAAAAAAGAGCTCTCCTACCGGCACTACATGGCCGGTCAAAAAGTCGTGCCTATATATACACCGGATTGTCGAAGTGTAGTAGAGCAACGCGTGCGGTCTGTTCTAGTGGTGTATTATTCTGCATTTGTTGTGTATGTGTGTTTGTATGTGAATCTATGTGTCACCAATTCTGCCGTTAAATAAATTCAATCAATTCTGCTATTCAATAAATTGGTCGTCTCTGGGCGAATGCACCCGTCAAATTTTATTTTTTTACCACCAGAAATAACTCCCAGTAATCACCTCAAAAACCTTGTGAAGGTAGTAAAAATTTACTCTCTCTATACTCGCTGAAAACCTCACTGGGGTAAATATTTACTACTCTCCCTACGTTCAAAAACTCAGTTAGCACGAGAGTAAATTTTTACCTCGGTAGTAGGTGGTAAAAAAAACCCAGGAAAGGTAGTGCGCTAGAGGACAAATGGTTTACCCAGTTTTTGAGGTTATTTCAGGTCATTTTTGTTTAGTGTGTAGCCAATGGCGATGTGGCTTAGGGTGCCCCGCGTTTCAAACCGCTCAAACCACGTGATAAAAAGGCCTCGTTTTTTTTTGCCCACGTACGAAACTGGCGGTCGTCGGAGCTGTAAGAAGAAGGCCGGACGCAACTTTCCCAACCGATCGCGATGGCGGGCGGCACTGCGACGGGGAGCAGCGCGCAGTCAAAGATGGCCAATATCGGCGCAAATTCACGAAATTTTGAGCCACCGCGATGCCTTCATACACATTTTTTTGCATTTTGCGGTTCGTATTTAGTTTTGAAATTTTCACAGATGAAAGAAGAAGGTTTGAAGATTACAATGCAATAAAAATCAGAAATACGAGAAATTTCGCTAAAAACACGATTTTTCGACTCGCATCTCCCCTTAACTGTGTATTCGATTCACTATGCTGTAATTTAACCTGTAATGTAATGCAAGTGACTGCGTGCAATACTTAAAAAAATGGTCGTGCATGCGTTGCTTGAACTTCAGCGTTTCTTCAGCAGTTAAGTGGAAGCAGCTGCTGGTACTGGTCAGTAAACATTGCGATTCTGCTAGCTGGTCAAATGTTGTAGCATGTCACTGTGAAAAGCAAATCTTTCTGCGGCATGCATTGCCCCAGATAACAGTATCATTTCAAGTTAAGCATGTAGATTACAGTAAAGCAATAAAACGCCTCCTGTGGTAACATAGCCTGATATTTCTCAGCCTAGCTCATAGCATTCACTATGCTTTCTACAAAGAGTGAGACAGTCCATAGCCTTGACAGGAAGTGTGCATACATACTACTACTTGCCAAATAAACTCTGAACATCCAGCCATTCTGAACATACACAGGTGGAATTTATTTTGCCAATCGCACCATGTCTTATGGTTTACCTGAAAAGAAACACAACAGAAACTAAGGACGCGTCGACTATTTAAAGAATGCAATCTTTGCCAAAATAAAATAATATTGCATCTACCTAGCAATAACAAATGAAACACATAAAGCAGCTCTAATGCATCCACAGTACAGCCAAACTCCTTGAAGCAAAAAAGACATGTATACCTAAAATGTCTGGACGAGTGAACAAAATTATCATTCAAAACAAAAAAGCTGTTTGACTTCTGCGTGGATGCCTAAAAAGGGAGACACTGAAGGGTGACCACGTTAACTCGTAAACGTACTTACAAAAAACTTTACCTTCTGTTTTTTTTTTGTAGCAATAAGTACAGTAATCCCTCGTAATAACGAAGTAAGCGAGACGGAGAAAAAATTCGATATAAGCAGTGATTTAATATAGGCAACTGCCTGATAAAAGGTGCGCAAGTACAGCCAAATTAGATATGACAACTGCCCAGAAGTGGTATCACGTGAAACATATCATTATTCACACACATGAAAGTCATTAAACTATCTTTGTCGGGTGCTTTGGCTGGGCGCGAGGATTGCCTGCTTGAGTTTGTTGAGGCAAATTATGAGGTCATGGTCGCCGCTTGAGCCCTACACTCTATTTTGTAACAGACGGAGGCTCTTTTGCGTTTTTGCCATTGTTGGTATTTCATGGAGCTGTTAGTCTAGCGGCTCATCTTTCTCATCAGGGCCTCCAAGCAAGTTGACTATTTCGGCCGGCTAGTCGACTGGGGCTTTGCTGCCTTTCCCAGTATCAGCAAAGGAAGTTTGTCCTCCCCTATCTTGTTAGCACCAAACAGCGCTGTAATGCGTCCTTTGCTTTGTTTACCTCCTGCTAAAGTTTAGCCCTGTGTAGGGTGCACATGCTTTTGAAATAGTTTGTAAAAGAATGCGGTCTCATCCAAGTTGTAAATGTCTCTATCTGCGTACTGCTGAAGTAGGGCGCTCAGCCGACTGCTTGCATCATACGTCCACGACACCGTGGTCCACGGCTGCACCTTCACCAACGATCAATTTTAAGACACATCCGGCCGTCTTTTGAAATGTTTAAGCCAGCCCTTGCAGCACTTTAAATCTTGGCTTGCCCATTCGGGTATCTAGGGGCTTTGGATTCTGCAGTCTATACAGACCCATTTACAGGAAGGTTTGTACTTCTAATGCTTTTCAACTATTCGAGAAGCACTCTGTTCACTTCAGTATAAATAGAATCATGGTTGCACTTTCATTTCCTGAGAAATTCTCAAAGCTTTTCAGTACAGGATCCTTATTCTTTACAACAGTTGATATTGTTGCAGGTGGTATTTCAAATTGTCCTTGCAATTTCAGACCTTTGCCGGCCTTTTTTCTTTCACCTGACGTATCAGTTGAACTTTCTGCTCCAATGTCAGACACTTCCGAAACGGGCACCGGCGGTGCCAGTTTCAATCGACCTAATTGCTCTATGTGTTTGCTCAAAAACAGGCAGCTTGATTCTGCCAAACTTTGTCTTACTGTACAATCAATGTTTCGGATATTTTAGAGCATAGCGCCTGCCAGTTGGTGCTGTTAAGCTGTACAGACCCCAGCTTCTGAGGATTCAGAAAATCCAGGCCCAAGAATGAATCTGCGGCTGAAGAGGCTCCATTATTTTATAATATTGTCACGGGGTCGTGACGTGGCCGAAGACAGGAGACTTCTTGTTGGGATTTAACTGCTTATTTGGGCGAACCTGTGCCCAGTGAAAAGAAAGTCCAATTACAGCAGCAGTCTCGCAGAGATAGCAGTCTCAGACTAATAGCGGCGAACGCAGCGTCGGCCTTCGATCAACAACTGACAAGCGGCGAAGCGCGTCGGCATTTATACTCCCGCCGTCGAATGTTCTAACGCTATCGTCGGTGGCGGCGTACGTTCCAGAACAATCTGTACCATTCGCACAGTGGGCGTGATCTTATCGAAATGATCTACTACAGCCCGGAACCCTTTCGGAAACTGCAGGCGCGGTTTGCGCTGAGAATCGTGTGGTGGTTTTGGACGATAACAAAAACTTGGGAAATGGAACGTGGCAATAGAGACATGACAACTTTTCACAAAACATTTCGGAAAATTATTCCAGTACTCACTAGACATGCAAGGTGTCAGTAGCTTCTCACATTCTGTGTCTCAGTACAAAACTACATGAAATGTAATCCAAACAATTAATCAAATACAAAACCAGTGCTGACATTACAGTGGAACCCCAAATATAGGACTTTCAGGGGATCACTCAAAACCGTCGTATAATTTGGATGTCGTAAAAGCATAAAACCAAGTATACAGAGGGTGACACTGAGCCTTGTCAAAAAAGAAAAAAGGGCACAGATTGCCTGAACGAGCCTACCACATGACCTTGTGGCTCTGCAAGGAAGGTACATGAAACTAGTCTTGCCAGTCGGAGCTAACGACATCATTACTTGGTTGAAGAAAGTGCAAGCAAATCTTTATTTTCAACCCTACAAAATATAAAACCCAGCGCGCATCTTTCTACCAATAGAGTCCGAGAATTGCCTGCACATGAAAATACAGTCACCAATCGATAAATCTGACACCGATAATTCGGACATGCTCCGTAATTCGGACAGTCGCGCGGCACCGCCGATGGTCCAAAAGAGGTAATGTGTAAAGACGACCAATATTTCGGACAGCTGCCAAATCTAGATTCGACAATTCGGACCCTGCCCGACTGTCCCGCACGCCGAATCGGCAGCCATTATCTCTTCCGGCACTCCAACCATACAAAGTATGGCCTCAGAGATCAAATTGAAAGCTAATTGGTAATCTATGAGGCTTTATTTTGATCGCAACTTTATGCCTCAGAGATTTGTACTTGAAAATGCCGATCTTGAAGGCATGGCTCAACTGTGGGGGATTGTATCGACATCACGATCATCCCACATTCCGGTTTGTGTATACCTTCGCCACCCTCGCTGTGCGGCACGGCTGTGCGGCTATCGCCGCCGTTCTGTCACATGTGTGTGTGGTACAGCGTTTTGCTGAATTCTGCACGCGTTCATATTTATTTTGAGACTTGCTTTATTTTACGTCCAACTGTCTCACAAGATCTGAAGTTAAATGGCACCAACGGTGCCCTCACAGCCAGCGCCGAAGGCCGCGCCGACGAAACGCGGCAGATATACAACGCTAACCAGGGCAAAGAAAGCAGCCATCATAAGCAATTGCTCAGTGGTCGTCCGCAAGTCGAAGTTGCTCGAGAGTTCAACATTTCGAAGCAAACCATATCGAAATACATGAAGAATAAGGACAAGATTTTAGGCGCGACGGAGACATCATCCGGAAGTGAACAAAAGAGGGTGAGCCAAGGTGTTCATCCGCAGTTGGAAGAAGCGTTGAGCATTTGGCTTAACGCGACTGTGGCTCAACGGGTTCCCGTTTCCGGCCGCCTCTTGAAGAAAAAGGCCGAGACATTGGCACTTCGCTTTGGCATTGATGGATTTAGGTTAGGTTCAGCGATGGCTGGCTCCGGAACTTTAAAAAGCGGTACAACCTCGCTTTCAAAAAAATGTGTGGTGAGAGCCGTGTCGTGGATAGCACAATGGTAGCGAACTACCGTGGTGGAAAGTTCATGGAGCTGCTTCGGCGCTACTTGGCTGACGACACCTTCAACCTCGATGAAACCGCGCTTTCCTATAAGCTACTACCGGAGAAGACACTCGCCCGTTCTGGAAACCTTGCCACGGAGGTAAACTCAGCATGGAATGAGTCACTGTCGTCGGCTGCAACGCTTCTGGCACGGAAAAACTCCCGCTGCTGGTAATCCGGAAATCGAAAAACCCTCGATGTTTTAAGGGGAAAAAAATCTGCCTGTCTGGTATGAAGCCAATACGAAAGCGTGGGTCACGCAGAAGCTATTCGCAGAGTATGTCGGAAAATTGGACCGAAAAATTGAATTGCAAAAGCGCAAAGTCTTTTTGTTCGTAGATAACTGTACTGCCCATGCGCCGATGAGCTGTCTGAAAGCCATCGAGCTAGAATGCCTGCCGCCGAATATGACCAGTATTCTGTAACCTATGGACCAATGTATCACCAAGAATTTGAAGGTGCTGTATCATTCACGCATGCTGCAGCGCATTGCTCTGCTTAGAGAGCCAGATAAAATACAACAATGATTTGATGTCAGCCATGAGCATGCTTGCTGATGCCTGGAAGGCAGTGTCGGCAGGCACGATCAGCAACTGTTTCCGGCACGCAGGATTTACGTTGCGTAGTGAGCCCGACACGGCTGATGGAGCCGAAGAACCTGACAATGCGGCTGAAGAGCCGGACCTGCCGCCCAGTGCATCGAGCTCAGGTGTGGAAGTTATCGACGACCTGCGAGGCTGCGGTGTGCCAATTCCCGACACTGTTTCGCTTGAAGACTTTGCAAACGTCGACAGTGCAGTGTCGTCCTGTGCGGAATTGAATGACGACGACATAATTGAGCAGGTTCTGCAAACGTCAAACAGCGGTTCTGACTCTGACGATGATGACGCGCCGTGTGCTCCAGAGCCGTCCCATGCGGACCTGTCTCGAGCCCTCGCTGTTTTTTCGTCTTCGTATAGCGATCGTATCACACTGGCGGAGATACAGGCGGAGATACAGGCGGACACTTGCGTGCACGTAAGCGGAAGTGCATGCGGCAATGCATGAACGACTTTTTTCGGCCACCGGTAGACTGAAGTGTCAATAAAAGTATTTTTTTTCTAACGCATTCGTTTTTTCGGACTTTCGATAATTCGGACTTATTTGCATTCCCCGTGAAGTCCAAATTATCGGTCGTCGACTGTAAAACTGAAACTGGGTTGCCAAGTGCTTCCCGTCAGAAAAGTCAGACAGAGTAACAATTCTGTCAAACAATGGTGACAGGCCATGAGTTTTAATAGAAATCTCATCTGCTGAGAAAATCTGCTGTTCTGTTGTTTTGAATCTGTAGTTAATTTACACATAGTCTCGTTTTGCAACATATGGTAGTAATCACTCTCGACTAATTTCTGCAAAAAGCGATGAAACCAGAGGGCTCCCAGTTCAAATCATTATCGTGCACATTGAGTTGTTCGAATTATCAGGAGTCTTTCCCCATAGAATAATACACAAGGCTGTGCCGGAAGTAGGGCATCAGTTTTAATTCGACGTAAGTTTGAATTAACAAGCTTTTATTGTATGAATCTTAATACCACTCTGCTTTTGTGCAACGTGAGGGGTGGCACACCGGGCAAATCTGAAAAAAATTGCTTTCTTTTCATAAAGGGCAACTTGTGCAAAACATTTGTCTTCTTTCAATAAAAACTTCTTTGATAGATATCCTCGCATTTCTAAATAACTTTGAATGATTCATGCAAACCATATTAAATAAAGAGTGTAGACGCACAATAAAACTACAGGAGATCAGCAAAAAACACCAGGAAAAGTTGACCTACAACATCAGTTCTTCAGCGCAACTGCTGCACCAACTTCATCATCTTGTTGTCCACTGCACCAACTTCATTATCCTGTTGTCCATAGTGGTCCTTGATTTGCGGCCGTTAGACAATTTACTGTCCCTTTCTGGGTTTACGTTGAACATCTCCCTAGAAGGCATGTAAATAAGTTAGCTGGTGATTTAGTTTCGTTTCTTGTACCATCAGTTCTTACAACATAAAGTCACTATCGCATTTCTTTCTGGTTTTGTAGCATCTCAAAGATGCTTTATTTTCTGTTTAATTTTTAAGTGCTCATGATTTGTGATTTATAAAGATTAATAGGCAATATTCAAAGTGTACGGTGCCATCTGCCAAGGCCATAAGCTCCATGCATGGGCACAAAATTGAAACCAGTTGCATGTAACTGCATCTCAAATGCTAGCTGCTGATTTTTTCTTTTCGTTTTGCAATAACTTCCCTACAATTTGTGCACTATTCAGGTAACGAGGCAAGTGAGACAATACCGAGAAGAAAGTAACTGATTTTATTACCATATTATAGTGGAAAGATGTGGTGGGACTGCATGAAGAAAGAAGCCTAGCAAAAGCTAAGCTTCTTTGTCTAAGCTTTCTTTTTTGTGTATCATACCACTGCAGTTAAACTATAATGAACATTTACCAGCTTGCTCAATTTGCCTCGCTGCTTAGTAGTAGACAGCAGTAGTTGTCTAGAGAAAAACATGATAGAGACCCCTGGCAATAAAGTATGATGACGTTGAGTACAGTTACTTCAACGTAAACAGAAATGTTAAACAGAACTAAAGCTTAACTGGAACAACTGCCTGTAAAATGATTGGTTTCGAACTCAACCTTCAGCCTTCTTGATCTCAGTAAATGTAACTCCTACTCGATATATCATTTTTTTCTGGTTCCTTCAGGTTCTGTTTAATATATGCCTACTTTATTCTTGTCTTAATAAACTTTGTGGCTGACATTAACACTTTTATTGATATAGTTCAAAATGCAGGTATACAATGAAGTATTACTTGACTACCCACAAAGGCAAAGAAGTCCCCACAAAACTAAGCTTCACAGACAAAAGGAACAATTCAGCATTTTTCTTTGCACCACAAGAAATTTCAAGCAGTGCCTAGCCCAGGGATTATATTCATTACGAACTAAAATTATTTCAATGTTGAAATGTGATCAACAGCACTTCTTCAAGTGGCAACTAACCAAAATTTGTAGTCATGCATTATCAGACAGAAGAAATTATATAATGTCCATAAAAATTTCTTTGGCCTTAATGTCTGTTGCATTTATTTCATTCCGTCTTACAAAAAAGTGAGCTTCTCAATACAATTCCCCTTCATTTGTTGTTTTCTATATATGACTTCAAGCAGCACAAAAAAAACAAGAATGAGGGCAATAAAGCAACACACCCTACAGGGCTAGCGCTAAACTGCCAACTGAATCGTTACTGAAAATTGATCCCTTATGTCTACGTCAGAACAATGCCTTGTCACAAAAAATTTCCAACATTATTCAAAGATGGAAGGCATAGGTATTGTTGTACTACCAGGTGGTTTTGAACAAAACATCTATTATAATCACCCGGTACTGACATATTTATCTTCAGCTTTAGCAAGATATTAGGCTTCCAAGATTCCTTATCAGTTTTCACAATTTCAAGGGTTACATGTCCCAAATTCTCAATATGTTTGTGAGAGACACTTTAGTGTAGGGCTGCAGAAATTTGAACCCCCTGAGGTCCTTCAGTAGGCCCCTAAATTTAAGCAAATGAGCCTTTATCGCCTCCATTTAAAATAGAGCTTCCATGGCTGGGATTGGATCTCACGACCTGTAGGTCAGCAGTATAGCACTGTAACCACTAGACCACTGTGGTGGATCAAGACACCGAGACTGATTGCATCATCAGCACATCTCACCTCAGAAGAAATTCCAGTGTAGTCGTGACAGGGTCTGTATAAGCTAAGTTGAAAATGTAGTAGCTCAGAAGTAAAAGACAGGTAGCCTCTAAAAGTCTACAGCCTCGGTGAAAGGAAGCTGCTGTTCACAGGCCACAAAGGATTCCTTATTGAAAATGCTTCCTATGGAAAGATCGCAAACAAGCCAACGGATTGAAATCACTTCATTATTATTATAATCAATACAGTCTGAAACGTATAGCTGCTTCATCAAAAAGGTTCCCAGTACATTTACTGCATCCAAAGCACCTGATCACAACATATGAATTGGGTTTCAAGCCAAGTGCAATTTTATTGTATGGCTGAATAGAACTTGTGTCACTGCAGATGGCTTACAGTTCCCAGCAGAGAACTCAATGTTTGCACAATATACTAACATGATAGAGGCCCCTGACAATAAAATAAGATGATATTGAGCACAGTTAACTCTCAGTAAACACAAATTAAAACACTTGACTAAAAGGTCTTCCCACTCAACCATATAACTGCCTATTTACCTTCCCAAACTTGTACAAAAATCGTTAGTATTTTACAATATACATCAATATGTTTATGCAATTCAGATTTTCAAATTATTATCACGCTGATTTCTGAATTCGCACAAAAATTTAATAAGAAAAACTGCTGTTGAGGGCGGCTTTCACTCAACGAATGACCTGGTAATGGGTCACAGCATACTGAAACCTGAAGCAATTATGCAATGCATGGTAACACACTGAAAAGTGCTAAGACGTTTATTGCGCAAGTGGTCGGTTATCAGCGTTAAGGCAATGCCACACATGTGCACTGCACACGACATCATGGTCACTGCTGCTCTTGTCGTCATCAGAAGCAATATGCCGAGTAAACGCAACGTCCGAGTCACTGTCGGCAACAAATGTCATGTTGCCACTAATGCTGCCACTGGCATTCTTCATGCAAAACAGCATTATGAAATGACTGTTGCCGAGATTGAAACATGCGCGAAAGGCACTAAAGTGGTTTTTGATAGACAACAACCGCTGTCTAGAGCCGAAAACTGCAAGCAAAGTAATTGACATCTGTGACGCGTCTTCGGCAGCGGTACAAAATCGCGTGATGAGTACAGTTCGGGGTCGGTGGCTTAAAGGGGCCCTGAAACACTTTTTGAACATGGTTTCAAAACGCTGCTGATTTTTGACAACACGCGATCTAAGTAATATAGCTTGGCACATGGCATGCAATTCACAATAAATTATCAAATTTAGCTAAACATTGCTCTCTCTTCTCAGCAAATGATGGAGCAAGCTCAAAAAGCACTCGTAGAAGGCCTTCTACCAGACATTGGGTGATTTGAACATGGCGCGCTCGGTCATTACAGGGATCGCCAGCGGGAGGCTGTGACTTGTCCACGTGCGCACACGCGATCCCACTGAAGAAGCTGCGGTTCAAAAAAAAAAAGAAGTTCTCAATGTCACGAGGCGTGAAAGGCGTATTTTTATTGACCACGCCACCACCCCCACCCCCCTGCTTAGCTTCCAGCGCTTTTGTCAGGACGAGAAAAGAGAGAATGCAATTTCAGAGTGCGTCAAATTTTTGTTATTACGCTCGTACAAGGACTCTTGAAAGTTCTTGCAGCATTGAATTCATGAAACAATAAAAACTTTTCATGAATCCATATCTTAGTTACTTTGAAAAAGTGTTTCAAGGCCCTTTTGAGTGTGACTTAAAAAGGGACCAATTATACTGATTACATCAAGTGATTGGTGAGGGTTTTTGGCTCTTAAATTTCAAAAATGCTGCTAAGCAGAATACAGACTCCCTCCCTCAGCAGCAATGAAACTGATTTTAATGACTCAGAGCTGTAACTGTGCCACAACCACGTTTAAAAGATGACGAAGGGCTAACACAATATGCAGCACATTCCCTTGCATTAGCACAGCTAAGCCTAGAACACTATAAATATTAGAAAATAGTGATCAAGTCTTCCTGCAGTCAGAGCAGCAGCTGTTTGCTTTTCATTGCAGCAAGCTGCACAGGAGATCTTTCATTACTCACTGATGAACAATGAACAGTGCTTAGAGAGCTGATTTAGGTAGGTTCTTGCATGACTTTAGAGCTTTATGTGAAAAGCATCTCTACTTTTTGATAACGTGCATTGAATGGCTCTACAGTGAAGGATGCCCACCACAGATATAGTTTAGATGGCTGTCATTTGCATAGCTGCACAGAAACAACTTTTGGCAGAGATAGTGTCAAAAGTCACATCTTTAAATAAGCAGTTCATTGGACATGTGGTTTGCTGCAGAATTCAATACAGTTTGGTAATGCAAATTGCTCAACCTTCTCCTCATGATGACAACTTGCACCAGACAATGTGCTATGTTGTCATTTCAACCTATCTTCTCACTTAAGCTAGCCAAGGTGATGCAATGAATGTGCAGGCTGCTCGTGGTTATCACTCACAGGGTTTTCCACCACCAGAGCACATAAAAGCTATACTCACAAGTTGATAAAGATGAAAACAAAGAGTACTTGTTCAATACTCAAGACAAAAACATTTCTTGAGCACAGCCAGCAGAAACCCTAACCAAAGGAAAGACACTCTAGTACATGGTCAGAAAAAGGAGCACATTATCTTTTCTGACATCACAATCATTCCTGCCCTCCTTCACTCCTTACTATAAAGGGAGCAGATGTGGTGATAACATGTGAGGCAAATTCAATGCAAGTTCGGCTACTTCATTATTCAGACATATATAGCAATGCAATGAAGGCTCATATTTGAGCATACCAAGTGCAATGATAGTAGGGGTGTGTGGCAGTTCAGGGAGTTTTTCTGCGATCCTGGTTCCTTCCTGGGAAATAAAGAGGAATACACTTGACCATTGACCATACACTTGACATTCCACTTGAGCAGATATATAGGCGAAGCTGCTTATGCCCGTCTTATATATTTGTTCCTGCTGTGAAACAAACGGCATCATGAACAGGTAAATTTACCACAAAATCAGCGCAAATCCCACTACTCGCTGCTACGTCTCATCTTCATATAAGTGAGGTGTAGTCGTGCGCTGATGTACCTGTGGGCTCATACCCCCCCCCCCCCCCCTTTTTGAATGAGCCAACAGTACAAAAACGTCAAATGCGCCCCTCAGCGCGCTGCGATTTATTGGTTATGACGAACCAGTCATCGCGTCAGGGACGGTCGGCTAAGTTGGGTAGTGTTTTCAAACCAGAGGCATCTTAATTCTTCCATTTGTTTGTCATTCCACTGAGTGCAGAAGTGCACCCTATCATGACTGGAGACTGGCAGTGCGACCATCGGCTGAGCTCTCTGAAGCGGTGCTCGTTGAGGAAAACGTTGTGTGCGTCCCACAAGAGCGCGGGAACACTCCCACGTGCACTGCAAAGAACACGTACCGGAGTCCCAGTGACACGTGGTACGCATCGCACACTAACGCTGTGACACGCAGTAGGCGTTTCAAGCAGAAGCGCGTGCACAGACAGAGGGGGATAAAAAGCGGGTCGCATGTTTTATATGCAAGAAAGCTGCCACGTAGCATTCACCGCATCAAACGCTTGACAGTCTCAGCGGCACCATCACAGTCACGAGTTGAACTCGGGCCTTCTCAGAATCAACGAGTTTGTATCCGAGTTCATTCATCCATCAGTTTGATTGACAGAAGCCCGCGGCGAGTATAGAATCCGCCCACCACTTTTGCTTTTGCCGAGGAGCAGTGCTCACGCCACAACGCCAGCGAGCGCATGGTTCATCTACTAGCTTTACTGCACAGACTATGCACACACGCACGCAGAAGTAAAGGAAGCCACGTCGCTACTATAATGGAGGTATAGAATAGCGCACCGCGAGCCCTTGCGGTGCGGTAGCTGCCACTGCACATGCGTTGTAACGCGAGCCGCCGTTCGCGTTCGCGGCCCGCCTGCAGAAAATCCGAAATACCACGCGGCGACCATGGCCCGTGAGTCCCGCGAATTGCTGTGTGTAGCTTCCGTGCATTTGGGTTTGCGGTCGGGTTGAAAGTTTCCTCAGGAAGAGCAAACGCTATTCTGAAACTCATACGGCACCCGCAACTAAAGCAACGCCCACAGCACCTGCAAACGTTATTTTAAACCTCCTATGATCTCATACTCCATTTCACCGCGTTCACGACATATCCAATCACAGCCGCGTTGCCGACAAGATGCGAGCACCCTTGGTGACCACTTGTCCTTACATTTATCCGTAATACTTGATGGAACCGAAAGAATCGGCACGAGAGCGTTGCGTGAGCACCCTTGCTGCATTCGAGAGTGAAAATTTCCATGCTGCAAGTGGAGCGAAAGAACCTGTGCGAAAGAGGACATAGGCCCACGAACACGCCTGTGGGAGGCGCGTGCTGAGTTGGCAAAAATACAGCCCGACAATCACGCTGTCGTCGCTGCACTCTGCTAAAATGCTGAGTGAGTAGTGGCGCTGACGTGCTCGCACGCGGCGTTTCTTTGATAACCATCGCAAATGCCCCACACGTGTTTCAAACTGCCACGCGCATACGTGTAGCCATTTCTATCAACACCGCTATCACGCGCTCCGCACTGTCATCGTGCCACAGCTACCGCAAGCGAGCTCGGAGCAAACTCGGCTCCCCGAAAAGCTCGGGCCATGCTGCTTGCACCCCAGGCCAGAAAAAATTGGCGCACGCGTTCTGGGACGCGAAGCAGATCCATGGTGATCCTTTCTGTTCCCGATTGACTAATCACGGCGAGTTTCAACAGCTATGCTGTTCAGTATATTCAATAAAGAAAAGAGGGGGGACACGCAGACAGGTGAGCATTAACATCATTTTATGTACCAGTATTCGCCTGTGAACAGATGTGATTGCACAACCGAAGGGAATTAAAGGGTGAGGAGGGATTGTCTATCTTGTTGAGAAACGGGATGGACAAGTTTGAGGGCAAACAAATATCATCGTCGACACCACACTAACCATCGCACGACCGCACATTGCAATACGTGGATGCTATAGCAAAAACTTACTGATGAAGAAAACAAAGATGATGCTAGGTAAATCAAAAAAGAAAATACATTTTATCCCCGAAAGGTGCCAGCACTTACTCGCTCTGCATAAACGAATAGTCTTTCAAAAACAAATACGAGTGCTGTAAACAAATAGCAACGACCACTTGCTATTAGCCTAGTGGTCCTCTAAGGATTGAACCTTTTCTGAACGTCTCAGTGAGGTTCCATGATGCACACCACAATGGCAGCCGCAAGTGCAGACGAGGAGCTTCACACACACACACACACACACAAAAAGGCTCATTACGATCGGAGAACATTTTAGTACAAGGCAGTGGTCGGATCTGAACGGGTTGTCAGGTTGGAGATGACGCCACCCAATATTACACTTTTAATCATCTACCTGAAAGCATCACACACAGAAACTCGAGGAAATATGAGACAGCACTTAGGAGACGAAAAAAAAAACACACAAGGCGTTTTACACCAGAAATTTTCACAACGGGGTTGCGTGAAACCCATTATTGATACAAACAAACAAGCCAAACAACACCCTTTGGTTGATACAAACAAGCAAACAAACACTACCTCCCGTAACAACCTGCTCCTTTTTATTTTTGGTAGGCATCACCGCATGACAATTTTTTTATTGCAGCGGAGTTGCCTTGTGTTGCCCTTTCTCCACAAAATGGCTAAAAAAATCTGTTGTGGTTTTCTACGGCATATGCACGCAGAAATATTTTTTCAATGCTCACACATTTCAAGGCCAAACGTAGCTAGAAACAGGTGGAATTTGGCAGCAGACCACTCAACACATTGGCAAGCTGCTAAGATCGAATTCGCAACCTGAATTAATCCATACCAGAGAGAAAGAAAAGGCACCTATTTGACGCAGCACATTGTGTTAGTTTATGACCTTTCAATCACTGCAAGGGGTCCTCATCACTTCCACCGGTTCACCAGGGCTCCAGGAAATATTCCGTGACTACGTGCACTGCCAGCGAAGCATACACGTGTAACACGCGAAAATATAGGTCGATGCATTTAGCCACATGTAACAACGGACAGTATAATAGGCGTGCGCACGAGGGGCTCAAAGTCAGCCCCATACATAGACGTATAATGGGGAAGGGGGGGGGGGGCACTGCGACAAACCTCCGTCCTTCCCCGAAGGAGAAGCTGCGCACACCTATAGATATAGCAACACGTACTTTTCTCTCAAGAAACACGTGTTTACGTCACTCAACGCATAGCGCCAGCTTGAGCTAATAAACCCTGACGATTCTCAGCACAACACAAATACACAACGATGAGACCACGCGACACGTTCAGCTCAAACGTTAGCAACCACCAACATGAAAAGTTAAGCGCTCAACGGGTGACAATGTACGGTTTCGAATAGGTTGTTGCCCAAATGATAAACCTCCTAGTGTCGCTCTGGTCAGAGCAGTAAACCGTTTGGCAACAGGAACCACGCCATTGTACCACGGGCGTTATGCTTTTAATAAAGATTATACGCTTTGCTGATCCGTTGCTAACTGATCGGGAGTGCTGCGCCTTGAGCCTTACTTAGATCGCATATACGTTTCGCGTGCCTGTTATGTGGAATATCAATAGCAAAAGCCAAAGTGAAGCACACGTACCTGCGGTAAAATTCCCAGCGAGTCCTATCCTGAAGATCGTCAAACGTCGTCGCAATCTCTTGCTTGAACAATATATCGACGAAAACCAACAATCGCACGGATCGGACCGTGCGCCGAGGGGAGTCCGCACAACACGACCGAGACGAAAGGCGGGAAACGTTGGTCACATGACTTGAACTCCACCGCGACGCCCGCGCCAAACGGCGCCTTGGGGGCGCCGCCTGATCCAGCGCCGGCGCCCGGTTGTTGAAGCGCTTGAAGTGGCTGTGCGCTGCCGCAAACGCGCGTTTTGCGCAACAGGGGAATATGGTTCGGGGCAGAGCGTGTACTACCGCGCGGTGACGGCGTTATCTCTGCGACCTTTGTACCTTGACAGCGGCATGCCGTAAAGCTTGGTAAGCGTCATTTTTACGACGCGCTGTACGCCAACCGCTCCCTTCGTCAACAACTGCTTTAAGTGCTCATTTTTTCGCAGGGTCTCAAATGCATGGAATCAACTGCCCAACGATGTGGTGCTGCAGCCATCTCTGAATTTATTCATCTCCCACATTGTGCATTTAGCTTATTTTACTTTTCGATGTGTTGATAACTGTATTTGAGGTGTTGCTTCAATTTTATATATAATTCTGCATAGATTTTGTACCACACGTAGTTTGTTTTTCATTGTTTTGTTCGCTCTACCAGTTGTACCTAATATTTGTATTCCATCCTACGAAAATTCCTTAATGGGGTTGCAGTATTCCTAAATAAATAAATAAGTAAATAATAATCGCCAGAGCTTACTCAACGCTTCCACAAAACAAGTGGGACGAAAAAAGAGTGCACATCTCACAATTTTTGAAACAGTGTTCAACTGCAATTACGTGTTTGGAAATACTAAAGGCAGGCAAACGTCAGTGCAGTACGGTGCTTCCAATTTTGCTACTTGCGGTAGGCGAGACCGTGAGACGCGAATGGTCGCGACAGAACTGCAGTTAACGGAATGCCAGGCGATTGCGTTGTTTATCACATTGAAGTTATTTTATTGTCACGGGTCTTTAAGATAGATTTCGCATAGCAATGCGTGCATCTGTCGCCAACACACTGCAGATCGCTTCTCATTCTTCATATACGCCTCCAACTGTTTACCTTTTACTATTTATTTTTATGGATTCCGTTATTTTTGCTGTACAAGATCGGCAAGTCCAACTGCCTTTTTTTAAAGCCTAGTGACGTTATATTCGCGCAACATCGAAGCTGGCCGCGGCGGCCACACTGAATTTCGTCTAGATAGAGGAGCTTGCCAGTGTGCGCAATGCCAGTGTGCGTGGCAGAACACCAGATGGACTAAATTTACGAAGCCGTTCACTTCGGCGTGACTCATAGTCATACTGTGGTCCCATGGACAGCCTTCCTGATTCTGACGAAACTTATACGCTCTGGTTTTTGGCTGAGAACAATGATTTCAAAGCTAGTTTTACAAAAAAATATTGTTGATCGAAATAAAATGTATGCAAATTGTGCCCACATAAACAAACAGCAAGAAATACTTTACTTCCAAGTTCTCAAATTCTGAGCTTGGAGACTGCCTGACCAAATAGGATACAGTTCTTAATCACGATAATTATTCCCATGAAAAAAAAGAGAAAATCTGTATTTATTTTGTTTTCCTTTGCTATCAAACAAGATAACCAGTAAAATATAGTAAACTTTCAAAAATACTATACTCATAAGATATAAGCCCGTACAACAAGCTTTTAACCGTTAATAAATGAGTAACATGAGCGAGCGCAAGATGTTCATTCAACTTTGAAGCTCGGCTTAGCGGCAGTGCAAAATACGGTTGGTTGTAGGCGTTCTCTTGGCATAGCATTCTTACGCTGCAATGAAACCACTTTCACAAAGAGTTGTAATATACACTTATTCTATCTCTCGGAATACTGTGATATTCTTTTGAGTATTCCTTGTGCACGAATAATTGGACGTGTCTACTTCGCTGCAAATAATACACGCAGACAGCCTGGCAGTATGTCAGGACGACAGCTAAATGTTATTTATTTCGCTGCTTTCGAGCGTGACATATTAAGTTAAATTCGCTGTATTGTGTCGCGCATCGTACGCGCATCGTCTGCGTTCTACCCGCGGTCCAAACTATGCGATTAGGGAGGATATCAATTTGGACTTTATACGGAACATGACGGCGACGCTGGTGGCAAGAACGCGTGAAGAGTGGTGATATAATTGTTATTGCAACCAAAGTAGTCTGTAATGGTCTTTGGTTGGAAAATACCTTAACAGTGCAACCAACCTAACCAAATTTAAAAATTACCCACTACAACCAATATGCCCGTGTTGGAATATACAGCATGTGTCCGTTGCTCTTTACGGCTATTAACGACGTGTTTTCATAAAATGACAGGTGTCCGTGAGTATTACACCAGGATATGCCATGCGTTTGAAGGACAGTTTTTACAGTGTACTGTACATTTTATGCTTGGCTCTCTCTTGGTGTTCTGTAGAGCGTCGTTTTTAATTTCTGGTCTCAATACATACTTTTGTGTCCCATGAGATAGTTTCACTGATAATATTAGTCCGTAGGAAATTTATTACTAAGCTAAAATTGCTGCGGGGGTAAATGTTAGTGTTCAGTGCGCTTATGCCCCGTTGCTATCTCACAAATATGCCATGAAACGGATATCGAAGTGAGGCCTTACCAGAGATTACTAAGAAAAACTGTGATTCTAACTGACCCTTAGACATGTTGTCGTACTTTGGTGCACCAGGGGAGTCCATACTCGTGTAAATTGACTGTCATGATGAATATCTTCTTCTCATTGTTATTCCGTTTTTAAATCAGAAGAACAAAATAATAATCTGGAAATATACTTCATGTTATATCCAGTATAACTATTTCGAGCAAAGCGTGATTGTTCTATTGTCGCGGTGAATGGCACTACGAGTTAAAGGCTCGCCGAACGTAGCATTGCTTCCTGCAAAATATTCATATGCAGCAAAAAACGTCATGAACTTTTAAGCTTGACTTTCTAGAGTGGAACGCGATAACTTACTCGGGCCCCGTACAAATTGCCTTGTCTATCACTCGTCGTGCTTCTATTCTCGGTACACCTCTCAACCGAGCCACAAGAAAGCGACCATCTTTGCGCGTAACATAGTTTCAAACTATCTTAGAATGAATGCTTGAAGGACAGTTACGCGGTGCCCGCTACGCCACAGTTCTCAATCTTGCGAATCGGAGGAGGACCCAGGGCGCCAGTAAGGCAACATGGAAACCTACGCAGCCGCTGAATTCGGTAATGGTGTCGTTCGTGATTATTATTAAATACGCTGGAAAGCTTTGCAATGGGACGCACTTTTACGACACCCCATCCTTGTGGAATTTACATGTTTTCACACCTACCTGGTTTATACACTTGTGCCACGCAAGATTACATGCCTTAAGAAGACTCCTCCAACAATATACCATTCGTATGGCGTAATTTTTTCAGAGAATTTTGAGAAATCGTGGGCTTTCTGCGGTGCTAGCAAAACTCCTGCTTTCCACGCACGCAAACGCTTGGATTTAATTGTCACTCTCACTGAACAATATTATTTTTTTCACATATTTACCGATCGTTTTGCGATGGACAAAGCTAATTTTTCGCTCGTAGTCAACGACGCCGACACCAGAACTTCGACCAATCGAGCTCTAACAATATCTCGCTGATACACAGGAAAACGGAGGCAACCGAGAGCCCGTTTAATACGTATGAGGTTCAAAGAATGTAGAGCTGAGTGTATGCTGCTCTAACTTAGCGCATAACCAGTAAAAATGAGGCATGCACTAAAATGTGTGCAAGGCCCTCGCAAGGCTATTTTCCTCTTTTTTTTTCCCCGTGTGGTGCAAGGCACGCTTTACCAGAGCCTTCCGATTTAGACCACGAGTGTGTGTTTTTATAAACTAATTAAATAATGCTTTCCTCTACCAATTCTCGCTTCACTCTGTTAAGACCAAGTGCAAAATGTATATAAAAAAGAAAAAATTGGAGGTAGAACGTAACGGCAAAATGAAGAAAATGATACACTCACTTCATATGCCGTATGACGTTTTCGTAAGAGGCCTCTCGATTGTAGCTCACACCAAGGACTGTGTAATGACGGCTAGTGGACATTCGTTCTTGGATGGTGCTCTCCACAACCTGCGGTACAATCTTCATCAATAATTGTGATTAGTGTGCTTACCATTTGATGCAGAATATTAAAGAGTTATTATAACTACTACTACAACAACAGAAACTACTATTACTATTATTACTGCAACTACAACAACATTATTAATAATATTAATAACAATAATATTGCTTAATTCTATAGATATGACGCTTTCAACTAAACTCTGGCCATGAGGTTCCGTCACCTGCACTGTGCGATCGGCTCTTGCAATATAGACAAACTTATATCATTTAGTGAGGCCATCCTCAGGCAATGTTCTAAATTACAACTATGATAATGATGATTACGACACCATAACGGATTCGAGAGAGCACAATATGTTTGAGCGTATTCGTAATCATTGTTCACTCTTACGTATAGCACAAAATAAAACAAGAGCTCCATAGCTAACGAGGAATCAACTTTTGCCTAGCTGGTCACCTCTTTTTGTATTTTTTCTTTCCACTTTCGTGAAATCAATTCGTATATGCACTGCGTATTTGATGTTTTGTCTTTTGTTTTTGAAAGGCAAACTTTCTGTATGTCACCAGTTCATCTATGAGCACCGAAAACACCCCGTAAAAAAACCAACATACATAATTGAACCACCTGTGCCCCTAGGTACAAAAGACGAAAATTACGTCCACATCTACGCTCATTAAAACGCAACGAAAAATTTCGTAAATCTTGGTTGTGGGATCGAGGTGATGTTTCGACAAGCGAACTAGACTTGCTCAATACTAAAACCCAAAACTAGCTCTATCTTTGGAGAAAACAAATCTACTTGTAGAGACGTCGACACGAGAAAACAACCCCGGTTTACGGCTTTTTATTGCAAGCTTCCATATTCCGCTTCCGGTCGTTTTTAGGGTCATAATTGACAGCACGAGACGTGTGTGCTGTTGTAAACAGTAAAGTTTACGTTTGTAGTTGTGTGCAGATCAGAACAATGCGAACTGAAACACCACTCTTGTCAAACA